CAAGCAGACATTGATCTCAAGCATTTACTCAAGGTTTGAGTTTTCAAACGTTGTCCCTGCGCATCGATCTTGTTCTCACAAATATGAACGGATTTATATTAATGGTTGGCATTTAATGCCTTAATTGAAATGGTTTTTAGTAATATGGTTTTAAAGTTGGTCATATTAAAACCTTTACAACTAGAAATTCAAGATTTAAAATATGGGAAACTTTTATTGGAATTAAATACATTCAATTTTAACGGATGTACGTTAATTTTGTTTGACAATTGGAAAGATTTTATTGGAATTAAATACATTCAATTTGAGGAAGATGATGTAAACAATTTGATTAAGGGTGAAAAACATAAGATTAAAATAAAATCAATGATCCATATTGTTTAAGATGATGTCATAAGATTTCTATTTTAATATATATTAAAGATTTTTAATGGTAAGTTTTTTCTAAAGCTTTTTACCTTTTCTATAACTTTTAGAAAGCTTTTCAAAATTTCACTTCAACCACTTATTATTATAATTATAATTATTATTTATATTATTTATTTATTTCATATATATATATATATATATATATATATATATATATATATATATATATATATATTATCCTATATATATATATAAAGTTGTGTCATGTTTGAACCCTATATTTAGAAACATTTTACCTAATACCCTACTAATATTTAAATGATAGGTTTTTTATTTGTTAACCAATTGATTTAACAAACGAAAAATGAATATATTTAAAAAAAAAAATTAATCATTAAAAGTAATTGTTAAAATTTTAAAAATACCAAAAATATAAAACATTGTGGCCATATAATATTTTATTGTTTTTGTAGTTTTATAATTACATATTTGAAAATATTTATCATCTTTTATAGTTTTGGAAAAAAATTATCCACAAAGTTATAACATATGTTAACAAATATATAAATCACATGAGGTGACCTAATAGAACATTTAAATATATACCTCTTTCTAAGTCACACATAAAATCTCCACCACCTCACCATTTGGGACCAAATACCTCTTGCTAAGTCGGACATGAAAAAGTATAGCTAATCGTTTTTTAATCATTATTACATATGTTGCATGATATAGAATCTAAATAATTGCATCTTTTACGAAGGTTAAAATTAACTAAAATCTTATCCAACATCATCTTCTAAAACAAAATATTAACCTTGATAGGCACAAATTTATTCCATCTCATTTCTATATCATCTATCGGAAGCATGTTTTCATCAAACCATTGTTTAGCCAATGTAAAAACTGAATGAGTAGTCACCACTGGAATCTAACTCCCAACTCCACCTGTATTGATGTTTCGATAAAGTAACTCGTAACCTCCTACAAAGAGTTAGTAAGTTCAACCCATTATTCATGCTCCAAAACACTCTCGACAGCTGATGAAGGCATGTCAATCACACATCCATCGGTAATTGCTAACTAACAAGCACCTATAAATTAGTGTGTAAATTAGCGAGCCGTGAGAACCATACATGTAACATGTCTTCACCTAGCCAATAATCCATCCAAAAGCATGTATTCTTATTGATATCAAGCTTTTTTTTTTTACCAAAACATATGAGTTTATTTTTTATTTTTTTTTTTTTTCAATTTGTTGTTTGACTGATCTAAAAATATCCACCCAAGGAGCTCCAGAATGACCCATAGGAGTAGACCAATTCTAATTCTTGTCTTGACCATAAATACTCTAGGACTATTGGCACTATAAAGCATATATGGATTCTCTAATCAAAATGTTACTTCCAATCCACTATTATCTTTACTAGCCATGAACTTTTGCCACGTAATCTAAGTAAGTTTCCTATATCCCAACCATGGTTTTAAAAAGCGCGTTATGGCGCGTCTCAAGGTGTGCCATGGCACGAGATGTGACCTAGCCGTTATGAAAACGTCCAATGCGGGTTTGTTAAGTGTGACACCCAAATAACGTGTAAAGACGCCTTATCACGTTATGGCACGAGTTTTTTTCAAGGCACGAGTTTTCTTTATTTATTTATTTATTTTCTGATCGGTCTTAAAATAATTGAGTTTTTGTTAACTTTTTATATTAAATATTAATATAACACTTCTAAAAACTTGATATATTTGATAAAATTCAATAATAATATGATTTATCTTTTTTAATTTTATATAAAATAGTTACTCTTTGAAAAACGTCATGGCTCGTCATTGCTTAATTTTCACCTTGTCATCAAGCCCACGTCTCACATTATTTAGAACCTTGATCCCAAATCAATACCCATGAATAAATTATTTCTCATAGATTCAAGAAATTTAATGAATGTGTGAGAAGTTTAATAAGTGTTATAAATATATGAGTTTTATACAGAAAAGTCTTATTATTTCGAAAAAATATTTTCATAAAGTCCTAAATATCTTTTAAATAAAAAGTCTCGATTATTTAACATTTTTCCCAAATTAATGATAACATAATTTTTTTAACAAGAAATAAAAGATTATGTGATTTTCTCAAAATAACGAGATTTTTTTGTTAAAAAACCATTTAGGATTTTATCAAAAAATTTCCTAAAATAATAAGAGTTTTCTGTATAAGAGCCATAAATATATTGTAATACTTCCAAAACTAGATTTTAAAATACAAAAAAAAAAATTAAAAAAGTAAAATAATATTCTTTTAAAACGAATTTAAGCTCACATTCAAGTGAAAAAACTATTGACAATATTTGACTATCAGTGAAATCAATGTCATGCATTTAACATTTTGTATATACGACAACATACATTTGACACGTTTAATATTCTTCAATAAAACATCAACTTAAAGAGGCTAAGAAAGAGATTTTATTAAGACTGTACATAGAAAAAATGTCGACTATTATGACATGCAAATTTGATGAGAAAAAAAAAAGAATATGCATGTTTTACGTATCTTAACAATTTAATAGCTCTTTGGAAAATGAAAAAACATTAAGTCTTTTGAAAATGGGGATTGGCTCCCTTCTTTTCTTGAAAATTATTCTCATCATCGCTGATGTTGTATGCATCCTTCTCCTCTTGATTGCTGCAGGAGTTCTTTTCATCATTTCTATTTTTCATCCTCCTTCTGCTCCCGTTCTTCTTTCTGTTGCTCTCCTTCTATTAGCTATTGCCGCTGCACTTATCTTTCTTCTTGGCCTTCTCCTTTCTATCCCTCCCCTTCTCCCTTCTTTTTAAAAAACTTCAGCATCAATATACTAGAATGATTATATCCTTTAAAAGAGAAAGAATGGGACTTCTTTAGGTCAAACACAATGTCATTGGTGGTGCATAACATCGTTTTCCTTGGGGTACTGAGGAAGATAACTGATGGAATTATTAAGGAATTATATGTGATACATTTATTGGTTAAGTTCACATGATTTACCTTCATGGAAGTAATAATTCTTGTATTTATTCTAATTGGTGTGTTTTTCATTTAATGATATGTGCATATAGTCTCTTCCATAAATTATGACATTATAGTAATTTTCAACCCCATGATTATTTTCCTACTATTCACAATATCCACATGTCTGAATAAGATCATTCACATCAGTGCAATAGTGTAATGGGACTAATCTTTCAATTGTGACACATCAACAATGATTATTCACATCAATGCAATAACATTCATATTTCAAAAGTGGTCCCCACTACAACATCAATTATTACTTTATATATATATATATATATATAGATATATATATATATATATATATATATATATATATATATATATATATATATATATATTAATAAACTGATTTTTAGTTGAATTATTCAGATAACTTGTTCTCGGTTTGACTGTCGGTTCAACTACTTCGACTGCTGATTCAATCAAGAAAATTCCCTATATCTAATGTGGTGTGCGTCGGCATTCGAGTTATGTGCACTTTGAAAATGTTCAATTTTCTTTAGAAATATGTTGTGTTTTTAACGAGCTAAATAAAATCCAACTATACAAATATAATAAATCGAATCAAACAGGTTTTTATGAAACCGTCCAGATCGATCCAGTCTAAAAAATGACATAAAATCTGTTTTTATTGAACCACTTTCATCTCCGTTTCCCACTCCAACCGGCCGATTCGAACCGGTTTTTTAAACATTGATATATATATATATATATATATATATATATATATATATATATATATATATATATATATATATATATATATATACACACAACAAGAAAATGCACCTTTAGGGACGACAAAACGCGTCGCAAATAGTCAAGATTGTCGCCCCTAAAGGTATTAGGGACGACATGTCGTCTCAATTGGGTCGCCGCAAATACCTCGTAGCTAATACTCGAAAGTCGTCCCTAAAAGTGTCGTCCCTAATACATGTCGTCGCTAATAGCAGTCGTCGTCTCAAAAGGTGTCGTCCCTAATAATATTCCGGCTACCGGTCAGTGTTACTCCGGCCAAATATTCCGGCGGGGTGTGTAGTCGCTAATGCTTAAGATCGTCCCTAAAGGTGTCGCCACTAATGCTTGTTTTTTTAGATAAAATTTATATTTTATATTAGTTTATATTATAAAAATACAAAATTTATACAATTATAAAACTTATAATTTAAAAATATGCATTACATAAAACATCAAATAACATTACATAAAATATATCACATTAACATCATCTAACTCCATAATAACATCATCCATAACATAAAGTAATATATACTAATCGTCGTCCCCATCATCGTTTTTCTTCGTCGTCGTTGGTCGCATTGTCGACTTGCTTGGTAAATGACCGGATAATATCTCCAATTGCCGTCACAAACGCCGGGTTTCGGAGAAAAGCGTTAACATCCACATCCTACAAAGTAAGAATATAAGTTAAAATATATCATACTATAAAAACAAATTATTATTACTTAACAATTAAGTCACAAACACATTAAGTCCTTAACAATTTAACAAACAACCAAATTCATAACAATTTAACAAACTAACAAACTACCAAACTATCAAACAACAAAATTTACAACAAATTAATAAGTACTTGTGTTAGTTGTGGTGTCTGTGACTGTGACTGCCACTGGGTGGGAGCACTTGTACCCGCTACGGAAGGCTTAGGCCCGATGCCTCTCACATGTCCCCTTCGAGCACCTAACACCTTCTCAAATAAGGCTATCCAATCAATGGAGTTCGGATCACCACCGGAGTCGGCTATGTGCTGAGTTTGTAAAGCAACCTTAGCAACTAAAGCATTCTGCATTTCACGAAGATTGTTAATATACTTCAAAACAAACTCAAAAAAACAACATTCTACTTCATTTTTAAGTAATAATAACTTACATATTGTTCTTCAACTAACGGGTCAACGAATTCCCCTTGTTTATTGACATGTGCACGGTGAAATACTTCAAGTTTATTCAAATTCTATTTAACATTAAAAAATATGTTATACTTAAATAAACATTACAAAATATGTTATAACTGAATAAACATTAATGTAACTTACATTTTTGAAAGAAGCACTACCGTAGCTGCACGTCCCTCCACGATTCTTAACTACTTGCTTCTTCCGGCATTCTTTGTTTACACTGGATCGTTTACAATGTGTATCAGTTAAGAAGTGGTCAATAGTAGCACTCCAACGCGCTGAATCCATACCCATGGGGGGGTCGAGCCCTTGCTGCCTCCGCACCCTCTAGCATATCTATAAATTTACCTTTTGCAATATTTTTGCGGCCTCTATACCGCTGACATATCCGATGGTTCAGTGATGCCAATAAAATTCTAGCATCGGGATCATTTGAAATGACTTGAAAATCAAAATATGTCTACAAAAAAATAAGAAGTTAAAAATAAATCAAAATTAAACATGTTAAATATAACTTTATAAATAATAAATAATTTACCGAAAGATATGTAAACATGCCATTCCGATCGGCTTCAGGAACTTCTTTCCAGGTGTTCTTATCCAAAGCTATGTCACGCCAGATATAACTTCCAACCTCCCGAATGAAACATTCATATACATCCCGAATCGGTACAAAAGTATTTCTGTCAAATATTATTTTTAGAGGTTGTCTGCCGTTTGCTTCATATAGCCGATGCATTTTCTTGTTTACTGCCATACCTCTTCGTCTGGGAGGTATAGCTGCAAAAAAATATTAGTAAAGATAGTTTTTTATATACATACAATATGAAATACAATGAATTAGAATAAATATTAATTACCATCAATCTGGTGAACACCAAAATCTCCACCGAACGGATGTGGTGGCTCGTCACCACCATCACCTCCATGGCCCATCACAGCAGCCATGAAATGAACGAATGCAACCCAAAAAAATAACATCCTGAAAAATTATAACACTATATATATATATATATATATATATATATAGATATATAGATATATATATATATAACATAATATGAAAAATTATAACACAAGTGTACAAGTTCATATTTTTCTAATTTTTTTTCCAATTATACAATCATGTACATTTCACATTATAACGTCAAATACACATAAACATTTTTACAAACATATACATACATTTTTACATACATATACAAACATATACATACATTTTTACATACATATACAAACAAATACATACATTTTTACATACATATCCACACATATACATACATATATATTTTTACATACATATACAAAAATATACATACATTTTTTCATACATATACATATACATTTCACATACAAATACATACATTTCATATAAATACATACATTTTATCATAGATTTTTTCATATATTTACACCCATATACATAGATTTTTCACATATACATACATTTCACATGCAAATACTCTTATACACATATTTTTTCATACATACACATAAATTTCATAAACAAATACACATATACATTTATATTTCACATGCAAATACTCTTATACACACATTTTTTCATACATAGTCATACATTTCATATACAAATACATATATACATATATATTTTACATACAAATACCAACATTTCTTATACCTACATTAAAAACAGAAAAAAAAACTGCAAATCGTTTAGGTGGTGGTGTTATGGTTGAGGTCGCCGGAGTAAATGTGGTATGACCGGAGAAGAGGTGGTGTCACCGGAGATGTTGCTGTGAAACCACCAAAATCCAAAATTAACACACAAATTCGTTCTAGAAAAGAAATTGAAAGAGAAATGAGGGAAGGGAGCACCTACCGTTGCTGCAGATGCCGGAAAATTGGAGTTTGTCGCCGGAAAACGTATCACAGCGTCGGCCAAATGAGGGGGAGATGAGGAGTGAAGAGGAATGGAGAAATGAGAGGGTTTATGGTCATGGTCGCCGATCAAATCGAGAGGATCGGGGTGTTTTTGGCCGGAAAATCGCCGGAAATCGTGTAAGAGATTTTTGAAGTGAAGCTGTAACCTGTTCTCAGAGACGATGGGGAGGTAAAGTGGTCGTACCCTTTAGCGGCGACGCTATTTGCGGCAACAAGACACTAATTGGGGCGACACGTTGGAGGGAAGATATCCCGCGTCTTTTTTGGTTACTAGTAGCGACGACAACATCGTCTCTATTACCGTCGCCGCTATTGCCCTGGTACGGAGAAACCCTGCCCGTTGGATCATATAAAAAACGAACGGCTACAATTCACTCTGGGCGAAGTCACACGGATCGCCGACGTGGACTATTAGAGGCGACCCTTTAGCGACAACGCCAAGCTTTTAGCGACGACAAACCGCGTCTTGTCACATGTCGTCCCTAATACTACCTGTCGTCTCTAATGGGGTCGCCCCTAATAACTATATTTCTTGTTGAGATATATATATATATATATATATATATATATATATATATATATATATATATATAATGGTTCTGTTAAAAAAATATTAAAGCTAAAGATTGAAAGCCTTGCACAGTTTGCAAGATGAAGTGCATGTGGCATTGAATTGATACTTTTGTGACATTGCAAATTTGATTTGCAATAGGCGCTGTGGATGGTCTAAGAACTTTTATATATATATATATATATATATATATATATAAACTGATTTTTAGTTGAATTATTCTGATGACTTGTTCTCGGTTTGACTGTCGGTTCAACTATTTCGACCGCTGATTCAATCAAGAAAATTCCCTATATCTGATGTGGTGTGCGTCGGCATTCGAGTTATGTGCACTTTGAAAATGTTCAATTTCCTTTAGAAATGTGTTGTGTTTTTAACGGGCTAAATAAAATCCAACTATACAAATATAATAAATCGAATCAAACTGGTTTTTAAGAAACCGTCCAGTTCGATCCAGTCTAAAAAATGACATAAAATTTGTTTTATTGAACCACTTTCATCTCCGTTTCCCGCTCCAACTGGCCGATTCGAAGCGGTTTTTAAAACATTGATATATATATATATATATATATATATATATATATATATATATATATATATATATATATATATATATATATATATATAATGGTTCGGTTAAAAAATATTAAAACTAAAGATTGAAAGCCTTGCACAGTTTGCAAGATGAAGTGCATGTGGCATTGAATTGATTCTTTTGTGGCATTGCAAATTTGATTTGCAATAGGCGCTGTGGATGGTCTGAACTTTTATAGTCAACAACACTCACTAAAGAATTCTTTCACTATGTCTTGATGTTGACTAGAAAAACACATTTAATTGCCTAACATCATGAAATGAGTTTTTGGACACCGGCATGAATTCCATGATATTGTAATTGCCCCAATTTATTATGCTTTTCAATAATTTTAGATACTTATATATTTGTATATCTTTTTGTAATTAGACGATTAAATCAATGTGGTCCACAATATATATATATATATATATATATATATATATATATATATATATATATATATATATATATATATATCTTTTACTAAAGGGTTGGTAGCCGAGTTGTTGGAAATATGTGCATCATGTATAGGTTGAGGGTGCAAGTCTTGCTTGAGACCAAATAGTAGTATATCATTACCGTAGGAATTGTGTGTGTTTGTCATTCTAAAATAAATTATGTTTTTTGTTTAATATCGTAACACCTAAATCTTGTATTTAAAGTTTTAAATAATTGAAAAAAATTCTTATATTAGTCCTAAATAAACATGATATTTCATTTGGAAAGTAATAAGGCTCTAAAATAACTGTGCAAAAGCTTTTTAAATCATGGAAATTTCTAAAACATTTCATTGAAAGTCTTTAAAAGCATAAAATACTAAAACTAATTCTTTAAAACATGTATGCTACAGCTCTTAGCAGTCCAGTTGTGTTCTTTCTCTTGACAAACCATGAGATCTCTAATGTTAATTATTAATGGGTAAACGAACTCTTAGTGAGAACAATAAACTATACATTCGACTATATATAACGAAGAACACAACAGTCGTACATCCCTATCTGAATGTAACCACAACGAACTATAGATACTTATATATCCCCATCTAAATGCTATTATCCAACAATAGCGTGGCACCCACATTAGATAGTTATAGTCTTACATCTATCATACATTACACATAAACCATATAATCACATACCCATGTAGCACATAGTGTCACATATGGAGAAGTGAAACTCACTTGAACTAAATATTTCTGCAAGTATTACTAGGATGTGCATTATAAGCCAACCAAGACCTTATCAATTTACATAAAGTAACACTAGTTACTTCTTAGTTCATAACACTTAATCCGCACTTAATAATACTTGTTTAGTACTTTCTTTTAGTTATATTTTTTGTACAACACTCTGATCATGACATATTCTACCATACTTATAAGCATCTTCTCATAATGATTCTTAAAAAGGATTAAAGTAGACTCTCTTAACTTTCTGGGGATACTAAGCACATGTTCATATGACTTTTTTTTATGATTTCCTATGCAATTTGATAGTTGCAATCTGCTAACTTACCGAATCAGTCTGGAAATAATGCATCTTTCACCCCATTATCATTTGTAATCAGGTCAAGTGGTCCATAGAGGGGAAAAATTAAACTCCCAAACATTTCTAACGACCTTGACCTTCACCTCATATGATTTTTCTACTATTTATTATGATTTTCCATAAAGATACTCATGATCTCACTTTTGAAATAAACTCAATCGGGATGAAAACTTTCCTTGAAGTGATGTGAATGAATGATCTAAGCGTAAACTTGCCCAAAAATCAACCTCTCCACCTTTCAGATCTTGAAATCAAAAAACCTATCGTAAAAACCTTCATATATGTCTTTGGATGCTTAAGTATAAACATCACCGTGATCCAACGATTCAATTTAAGGGGGTCATCCAAACACTAAGGCTATATTTTAAAAGAAAGGAAATCCGAAAATTCCCCTTTTCTTCTTGTCTTGCTTGTGGTCGTCGTCAACAAAGAGATGGAGGGAAGGAGGTTATGGCTTTCCTTTATATAACATGAATTTACTCTACTATCCACTCCTTATCTGCTTCTTTCTCCAAAATTTACCCATCTTTTTTTAATTATTTCCATATGTTACACCTTTCAATGGTATTTTATCTTTATAACTTAAACTCTTGTAACTCCAAGTATAATTTCACTATGTAATCAATTTCAAAATTATTATTATTGTTGTTATTATTATTATTATTATTATTATTATTATTATTATTATTATTATTATTAACGTTACCTAACAGCCACGTTAAATGTAACAGAGACGTTACTGCCTTGGCTGAGACCCGATCTTGGCCTCAGAGAGCCAAAGCCGGAGCGACAGCTCATTTCTCGTCACAAGGGAAGAACATCCCATGTGATCTCCTCATTCACCCACAACCAATTAGAAAGCTACAAATAGCCCGAGTGACGCCCAGAACTGACGTAACATGGCGGTTAGTTAGCGTGAATAGTTCTCCCAGTAAGAGGAGGCCACGTATCACGCTCACGAGAAACGGTCCTCACGATCCGTTACTAACATGTATAAAAGGATCTCTTCCACCTCAAGGAAGGGATCCATCTTCTTTCTCACGAAGATTACCCTAAGATTTCTCTCTCACTCTAGACTATTTTGATCGTCGGAGTGACGTCCCGGGAGAACACCCGGTCATCCTCTAACGGTTCTTCTGTGATTGTGGTATCGGGAAAACTCCCAAAGCAGTTACACCATCAAGCATCCAAATGATCTGCGAATATGTCACAACATTTGGCGCCATCTGGACGTATCCTCAGAGTGATACAACCAATAGACGACGTTGGTTCCTTGCATAAGGGGGATCTAGACCCAACATAATCTGAGATGGCAGTAGAAGCTCTGTTCAGAACGTACGAACCACTC